TAAGAGAAAGTGGAAAAGAAATGTATGGTAGGCAAGCTCCACTTGTATAACGCAGATATGTATGTTTACACAAGGGAATACCCAGAAGAACATACATTTTGAATGTGAGGCTTGTGGTTCTGAGTAAAATACTGAGGTTTTCACAATAATCAAGTATCTTTTTAGGAAAAAGAACAGAGACTCTTGCCCCTGCCCATGCTGATGGTATGTCTGATTGAGGGATGTGTATAAATGGGCCCCAGGGGAGGTGCTGAGCAGAAGCCTTTCCCTTCCTGGGTGACCCTGATCCTGTATCTAGGCAGCCAGGCCTTCAGTGTTGTTATGTGTGCCTTATTTATTTATTCTTTTTTCAAAATGTATTTAGTACAGGGTCTACAGGATCTCACTACGTAGATTGAACTCATAGTGATTCTCTTGTTTCAGCCTCCTAAGTGCTGGGATTACAGGCATCACCATGCCCAGTCTCAGTCTCATCTCAGCATGCCCTGGGGACAGGGCCAGGATGGCATTCCAGGGCTCAAACCCCGGCCACTGCACCTGCCTAAGCAGGAACTTTAGTCTACTGAGCCATCTGGTTGGCCCTGTTACCCATTTACAAAGGGATCTTTGGCTTGCAAAGTGCCTTGGCCTCTAGAGTCCCACATGAACTCTGGGAGAAAGGGAAGAACTTCCTGCCCAGGGAACAGTCTTGGAAGGAAACGTAAGTCTGTGTCTCAGGTCTGCATAGCATTATGTCACCACCCTTGACTTCAGCATAGAGAAGTATGGTGGACATATGACCTCTGAAATTGTAAGAGAAGCTGCCATGCTGCTTAAGGCATTAAGTTTGTGGTTGCTTGCACTTGGCATCAATAGGAAACCAGTAGCTACTGGGTTGCTGCCCTTTAGATCCTTAGAAACCCCGTGTCTTCTAAAGCTGCACTTCCTTGGACAGAACTGGAATTTGGGGACAACTGATTACCTCCTCTGGCCTGTGTGCCTTGAGAACAAGGCCCTCTGCCTGGCCCCTTTCATGGCTTTCTGTGGATGAAGGTCGTTTCCCCTTATGCCATCTTAATTCACCAGGCAAGTGTGCTATGCCAAGCCCCACAAAGAAAAGAATAACTCAAGGGCCCATTTGGCTGTGGCTCAGCAAAAACTCAAGATAGTCAGAGTCAGAACTGGAGCACAGCAGGATGCCCGACCTATGGGAGGGGTCATGCTAGGCCCTGGAGCAGGACTGTGATAAACCTTGCCATTCGGTTGGACAGGAGGCGCCCATTCAGAGGATGGACCGAGGGCGCCTGCTGGGTCCAGCCTTATCTCAGAGCCTCATGTCTCCAGCCAGGGCCTATAGCTTGGATCTTGAAAATGCCATCATTCACACAGGCAGTATTTAAAAAAACAAACAAACAAAACAAAACAAAAAAAAAAACACCTGCTATGGCCAGGTGCTTGGAGAAACTACAGAGACACAACAGATGAGGCACCTGCTCCATGGTTTTGATGTGCTAGGGAGACAGAAAAGTTGGCAGGTGATTCGTACTGTACTAGCTCAGGAAAAAGGTCAGGGTAGGATGCTCAGAAAGGGGACAAGTCAGGGCAGGCATAATAGTGAGGAATGAGAGAGGAGGAAGAGGACCCTTGGGAGTGTAGCTACACACAGCAAAATGGCTAGTGTAGCATTTGGTTTTTTGCTTAATATTATAGTTCTGGTCAGGCATGGTAACACATGCCTATGATTGCTGATTCAGGAGGATCACAAATTTGAGCTCAGCCTGGGTCACTTAGTGACTTACTGACACCCTATCAAGAGAGAGAGAGAGAGAGAGAGAGAGAGAGAGAGAGAGAGAGAGAGAGAGAGAGAAGGAGAGAGAGAGAAGGAGGGGAGGGAGGAGAAGGAGAAGGAGAAGAAGGAGGGAGGGAGGGAGAGGGAGGGGCAGACAGACTGACCTCAGTGGGAAAGCCCTAGGTTCAAGCCCCACCTCCCCCATGGGGGGGGGGGGACTTGAGATCCCAGCAGATGGCAGATGTTGAGGTAGGATTATGACCTTTTGTTTAGCGCTTTCCCACATGTTACCATAGCCACTGAGCATCCGTATGTCCAGCCCCTGGAGGTGCTTGTAGCAGTGCCTGAATCCTCCTACAAACTGGAGTGGTGGAGGTCGGTTCAAAGCCTGGACCAGCCCTAACGCCTGCACCTGCTCAGCAGTGTACTCTCTCCAACTTCACGGCACTCACCCTCTGTGCATGTCGCAGAAAGGAGGATAAAGCTGCTTAGCATATACTCAGGGCATGGCATTTTTGATGTCTTATGTGCCACTCACAGAGCCAGTGGAGTCCCAAGGCAAGATCCACCTGGCATTTAGCCTGAGGTCTGAGGGGACCCAAGGGTGGGGACCTCTGTGTGTAGTCAGGCTCATGAGGGAGGAAGGCACAAGCACTGTGCCTGTGCTCTGGGCCAGTGCACTGGCCTTGGTTCTTGTGGCCACATAAACTGACACCTAAGAGCTTAGCACTGAGGCCACCAAGCAGGCCAGGACCATACCCTACCTTCACCTGCCTCTGTAAGTAAAGCTCTGCAGGATGCCATTGGCTCCCATTTATCTGTGCAGCATTCACAGCTCCTTTCTGACTAGCAGAGCATAGCAGTGGGCTGCAGCAGAGACTGAAGGGCCCCAAAGGCTGAAAGGTTTATGACCTGACACTTCATAAGCAGATTTTGTCAACCCTTTCCCAGCATGTAAGGGCTGGTCTATATGGAGCGTTGTAAAAAAATCTCCATGATACATCATTAAGAGGGAGAAGCAGCAGGCAGCATAGTGCATAATTTTCCGTTTTTAGAAATAGCAAACCATTTATATCCACACACAGCTGTGTATACATATATACCTCTAGATGCAATAGAGAACTCCAGAGATACTATACATTAAAAATCATTACTGTGGCTGCCAGAGGACAGGGCTGGTGAGACTCACTTTTTATACATCTCAACACACTTTTTTATTGTGCACTACTTTCTGCATTAACCAATTCCAGAAAATAATGAAATGATAATGCATTTCAAACAGTACGTCAAGGCTGAAGAGCTGAGATAAGGAAGATGGAGGAAGGAATCTCCCCTGCCATGTTTTCCTCACCTATTAAAGATGATGGAGCTATGCTTTTTATCCAGGACCTTTTTCTGTGTGAATAATCTTCTCATAATAGACCCTGAGGGGAACCCTGTGAAGAAAGCTCAGCATTGCAGTCATACTTCAGTGGAGAAACGTTTGTGGCAGTGAAACGTCTGTGGCTGGCAGGCTTAGGGCAGTGACAGCACTATTGATGCAAGTGCCTCCTTGGGCAAGGGGGCCTCTCTCTGTGAGGTGGGTGATCTGGAAGGAACAGATGGGGGCACACAGCTTCCCAGAAGTGCCAGCACTCCACCCCCTTCTCACACTTGCCAACCTGCATGAAATGACTGTCTGCCCATTTGCCTGCCTCCAAGGATAGTTTAGAGCTATTTCTCAAAGTTCATACAGTCTCAGGTATTTGACCAATTTGCCAACCCACCAACAAGCCACCATTGAAACCTAAGAGATGGAGTTTTCACTTTAGCTTGTCTTTAAATTTCCAGATTTTTCTGCCCAACTGTCCTACTTTAATAGAACAGAGGCCACACCCTCCCCAGTTAATTACCTGAATCTTTGGAGCCTGGGCTCAGAGGCAGCCTTAAACTTCTCCAGGTGGTTCTAAAATGCAGCCTCCGGGGTTGAGAAGCCTGACTCTAATGAGGTGAAGGCAGATGCCAAGGTTGGAGTTGGCCCAGAGTGAAGAGCACCTCAGCTACCTACTGGTGACCTGGCCCAGCTGTATCGTGAAGCTCAGTTTCCACCTCTATGAGAGGGTGACACTACCAACCACCCTGTGTCACACGGCCCATGGGGCTGGGCCTACTGGCGTAGGTGAGGGACTAGCCTGCTCAATAGACAGACAGCGCTGGGTGCCTCCTAGCTGCCGCCGGGAGCCCCTCCCTTGCAGCTCACAGGCTGTGCTGTCGGGCTCCTGCACCCACCGCCCAACTCCGGCTCAGCTTCAGTGGCCTTTGGCCTCACCACTGCCTCCACAGAGAGGTGCGCCCCTACCGTGAATTTATATCTTACCTCAGAAGTCACCATATTGTAAAAAGCTTTGACCAGGCTCCCCCACCTTGTAAATATCCCTTATGGCATGCACCTCCTCATCCTGGGTGTTGCCTTTTCTACAAAATCTGATGGGCATCTGCCCCCCTTGCTTTTAAAGCTGCAGCTAAAGAGAAGGTTAAAGCCCATGGCTCAGCACAGAGCAGGAGTGACGAGGACAGTGTTGGCCATGTGAGGCTGGAGCAATAGCCATGGAGCAAAGGAAACAATGTGTGTGTGTGGCACAATTACGCTCTCCCTGCATTGCAGGGTAGCACCATCCTTACAGGCTGGAGAGGGCTTGCCCGCGTCCCTGTCTGCAGTGGCAGCTGCTTTCCTGTCGAGTACGTGTTTGGTACCTACTCTCAGTAATCTGCTCAAACAGAGCAAACAGCTTTTTACACAGTGCTGTTAGGAGCTTCCTGATCGTTCTCTTGGGGTCAGTTCCACAAGAAGCCCCTATGTTGTATTTTTGTTACACATCTTCATATAGGACTTTAAACACTGTCTTCTCCAAAGCACTTCTCTTCTTTGGCTTTGAAATGTGCCTGTTCTGGGTTATCAGGGCAAGCAGGGCAAAACAAGCCATGGTCAGTGCATTCTTTCATAGCCTTAAAATGGGGTCTGGAACAGTGGCCCCAAACGCTATCTAGTTGGGCCCTTCCAGTACTTTCAGAAGACAAAGTTTACACAACAATACAGATTTCCCATTTCTCCAACTCACATTGACCAGAGCTGGGTCACAGCTGTCTGCTCTCCTGTGACTATTCTTGTTTACCCACCCACCTGACCCTTATCTTTCCATAGTCATTGGCGTTGGAACCCCAACCTAATCCTATTCTTCCTCCTATCTTACAGTGACATCACCCCTCCTGGAGAGCCTCTGAACAAGAACAACCGACCCAAAGTGGCTTCCCGCTTCCCCAAGTTGTCCCGCGGCCCTCCGAGGGAGACGCGCAATGTGGAGCCCCAGAGCGGTGACCTCTGACCTCAGCGGAATCCTGCACCCTGGCTGCTCTGTCTGGCCTAGCTATGGCAGCTGGCCCTGACGCCTTGGTGTGATGCCTGCATCCACCTGGTGAACCCCAGAGAGCTCACCTTCCTGCGGGCCACATGCCACCCTGATTAAACTGCTTGGTCTCAGAGCACCAGGTCCCTGTCCGTACAGCAAGATCACTCCTCACTGCAGACTGGAACATGTGGTCATTACTCACCTAGGGCAGCAAAAGCTGCCCATCCCATTCCTGCAGCTTGGGACCAGCAGCAGGCTAGGCTCCCAGTTAGACTGGGAACTCCTGGCTGAGATGCACAACTCCAGTGACTCTCCAGCAAGGGGGGAGAATGACTGTTAGCCTTTCTTGCTCTTCTTAATGTACAGTATTTGCCTCTATGACCCATGCACAAATGGAGGGACCTTGCTCCTTTCCATTTCACGCTGCACCATGGTCGGCTGGCACCCAGTCGCATTTCCACTGTGGCCCTCACTGGCATCTCTCCTCCCGCAGACATTCCCCATGGCTTTATGAAGGAGCCTTCAATGACATTTCTCTCTGATTCTTAGAAAATTTCCCCGCCCTCTTTGCCTTTGGCCTCTGGAAGCACTGGCCATGTAGGAAGCCCAAGCAAGGCTTATCAGGGGCTCGCAGGCAGGTGGAAACCCTGGCCCCTCTGAACATTGGTGGTGTTGGCCTCAGGTCCTGAGGGACTTGACTTAGGGAACCATTGTAGAAGGGTCTGTGGGCCCTTAGGCTTTCAGACTCAGCTCCTGTCCAATAGTTCATGGTTACACCCTCAAGTCACATTGACCATGTATCATCTGTCTCCAAACAAGCTCCCAGTGGGTATAGAATCCTGTCTTTAAGAGTATTCATTCTGTTCCTCCTGCCTTAGGGTAGGGTGTCATAGGGTGTCTCAGAGCCAGGAGAAGGAAGAGGACCACCATATGGCAGCCTGCACACCCCTTGGACCCCCCTGGTCAGAGGGTTTCATGGACCCCAGCTGGTGGCTGCTTAATCTACAGTCATGAAACTGCTCCTACCTAGTCAGAAGCCTCCTGTATGGCTGAGTGCAGCTGAGAGGATTTGCAGAATGGACCATGAAAAAAATCATGTGTGTTCATCTTTCCCAGTGGCAGGTGGAGGTGTGAGGAATTCTATGCATGAGGTGACCATGGAAGCCACTGCAGTTTGCACTAGAACTGCTCCAACTCACTGTTTGACATCTTGGTGAACCACCTGGTGAGCATGGAGCATTCCTAACTCAAGGAAAACTTGGGAAAGAATCACTTGGAAGATGGGCACTTCCTGGTCCCCCAGTCGCCCGAGGGAAGCTTCTCCAGACAGGGCACACTCAGGTCACTGCCACACAGTCCCGCAGGGAAGCAGAGGAGGTGCCATGGGCTCTCGGCTCCTCAGGCCAGATGAAGCAGAGTGAGCCTGCTGTTCCAGTGGCCGGCTGCGGGGCACGGGCTCTTCCGGAGGGAGCTCTGCCTTTTGGAAAGCAATGTGTTCCTCTCCTAATCAGCCCAAATAGCTGGTGTTTGCGTTTGGGCACCAAGCATTGATGGGGCTGCTGTGCCCTCGACTGAGAATACACAGCCTTCCTGAACCAAACAGCCAGGCTCAGGCCGCCACCTGCAAGACTGTCTCAGAACTGGCCTCTGAACAAGAGCTGTGCTGAAACCACTTCCCTGTTCTATGTGCTCCACTAGGGAGGAGAACTCGCTATCCCTGGGGTCCCCCCTGGTCCCAGGGTCCAGGTTAGGACCCAAAACTCACCTTCTCCAGCTACCCCACCAGTGAGACTCAACACCTTCTAGACCCTGGATTAAAAGAAAAAAAGAAAAAAAAAAAAAAAAAAGAACAACCAAAGATACCAAGAGCTACAATCAACTCCACCTCCTTGCTTTATAAAGCTTATTCATAGAAAACTTGCTGAGCCCTCCTACTATGCCGAATGGAAAAGCACATTCCCTGGGGCCCCATGGGAATGCTCCAGCCAGCCACTAGCTGTCTGTCCCTCCTCTTAGATCTCCCAGAGGCCCTAGCATCACTCTCAGGCTGTGGGTTGTCTGCCCCCTGTCACTTTACTTCCCAAGTGCTTGGCCTCTGCCCAATGTGCATGTATGTGACTCCTGTGGAGCTGTTGAAACAGTGGCAGGTCTGTTGTACCTGTAAAACAGCAGGCAGCCGAAAGCTGTTTACATCTGTCCACCTGATACCAGCAGGCCACTCATTAGGTTCCAGGTTTGGGCCCCAGAGCGAGGAAATGGGAACAGAGACACAACCCTCGCCCAGTGGGTGCCACACAGGGCCACCTCTGGGGCTTACTTTCCTTACCCTAAACCAGCTCAGTAGCCTTGGTGGCTACCACATTGTCACTGAGTTCACAGGATGCTTTACTCATGTGAGGACCTGGTTATGCCATTACAGGCCTTGGCCCCACAGCTCCATCCGCCTGTGCCACTTAGAGCTGCTGGCCAACCTGTTGTACAGAGGCCAGGCCTGCACTCCAGAGGCCAGGCACACACCTTCCTCCAGACCCACCTCTCATTGTCCAGCCCTTCCACACACACCCTGACCCCAGCCTGACCAGCTCTCCGGAAGCTCCTCCAGCCCTGATGTGCAACCAGTGGCCAAGACAGGGCTGGGTCAGTAGCCCCTGGCCCTGGCCCAGCCCCAGCATGTCTGACTGTGTCCCCAAAGGGGTGAACTTGGGCCCAAGTCCCAATCCCAGTGGCAGTGACTGTCTTGACTTCTCGGTGTCACTCCAAACGATGCCAGACGTGGGCCACCTCTGCAGCCTGGAGGCTCCAACCTGGCAGATGTGTGCTGATTTCCGGAGATAGGCACCTCCTTACAAACAAGGTCTATTGTAATGAACATTTTTCAAAATATTGTGCATTGTTATTAAAACTAATGTTAAATATTTGCTGTTCAGATTGGCTTCTGTGCTAATTTTGCAGAACTGTAGCACTGTATATTTTATCTAACATTTCTGTGCCAAAAAGTTCATTTTACTGTTTCAGTAACACATGGTCTTGATTATGTTTCTGAAATAAAATTTCAGCTCCTGGATTGCTAAGAATGAGGGTTCAGCATCATGGCTCCTGCCTCCGCACAGCTGGACCCCAGGGTTCGGCCCGTGGGTCGCCCCGTGCTGCAGTGCACCAGCAAGCTGTTTTTAGCATGAGCCGTCGTGTGTCATGGGCCTGATCACAGTAGCTTCGGATTCATCATGGATCCCTTACTTTTGTTCTTAAGCTCTAACAACCAAGTTCAATGGGCTTCCTTGTACCCAAAGTTTTTACAGAAGTCAAAAAGGAAGAGGATTTGGGTTTCCTTGGAGCGGGCTGAGCTGTGCTGCAGATGAGCGTCCCCACTGATCCCTCCTTTTTCTGCCTGGGAGCCACTGGTTGCCTGCCTCCCTCTCCCAACTCTCAGCAGCCACTCAGTTGCTTTTAGATCCCTGCTTCAGGAAAGAGGACAGGACATAAGATGACATGTTTATCATCAGAAGTTGCTGACCCTCAAGAAAGGAGCCCAGAGGTGTGGATTTCCAGAGTCAGGGAAGAAGATTGGCCCTTATCATCCTGGAATAAAGCGTTAACCTCTGCAGGGGCCCCGGCTTCTCAGCCCTGGCATCAAGGAAGGCCGAGAGCGCGCTGCGCCTCACTGGTGTGACCTGAGCTCTTGGAGAAGCCAGCCTTTCCATGTGGCGCTGGCCGTGCTGAGCAGGGAGTCACCTGGGAGGACCGGGGAGGCTGCGCCAGAGCCTGAGTGGCCGGCAGGCAGGACCTGGCCAGCCACAGGTGCAACTGGATGTGTAGTACCCTAACTACCCTCTTCTGTTAAGGTTTACATAATAGAATTTTTAAGCAAATATGTTTAATTTTCTAAAACCTCTTGTATTAAAATTTTCTTTTGGAATAAGCTGTGGTAATTTTGTTACAATCTGGTTGAGATAAACCTCTTTACAGTGACAAAATAAAATGGCAACATTTTATAAATTAGATACTCAGTGTGCAGTCACTTTTTTTTGCCTTGATTCCACAACAGTTGGGGATTTGGGTGAACTTTTAACATACATCATACAAGGTTGCTTCCCAAAAACTCATTCCCATCTCACAGCACTGTGTACCACAGGACTCAGTCTAACGGCAATCTTGTTTGAATTAAATAAAACACAAAGCCGGTTTGGAGTTACTTCTGTCATAGGCAGATTGGAATGGATATATGAATTCCAAATTCCATACTGCAACACTACCTTTCTTGACGGGCTCCTATTCACTCACCACCTGGTCAATGCCAGGTGCTGGGCACAGGGTAGGGAACAGGACAAAGAGTCCCCACATCTCAGATTTACATTCAAGGTGAGGCAGATAGAGTGATTTGAGTCAAGCAAGATAGTGAGAGGGGAGTGAGCACAGCCAGGGATGGGGAGGGACAGCGGGGCAAGCGGCTGGGCGTTTGTGCTGTGGGCTTTGTGAGCAGATGAGGGTGCTTCGCCATGTGCCTGGCCTTCTCTCACCGGATTCTGCATCACCAGAATGGTCTCCAGACGTAGCCAGGTTCTCTGCAGGGTACTAGAGATCTTTGGGCCAAGGGACTCTGCCAAAGTGACACAAACCTGAGACCAGAAAGGTAAGGGCTGTGCTGCCCTCCGCCAGCTCAAAATTGAGCAAGATAATCTATATTTTAACCTAATCATGATAACCAGAGTAAAAAAACTGTCATCAAGATTAGAATAAACCAGGTGCAAGTTGGGCCCAGGCAGGGGTGGGATCCCTGGTGGCAGCCTTGGGAATCCAGCAGACGGTTAGGGGGGTGCGGACTTCAGAGTAGCTGCTGGAGCCCCGCGCCAGCACCCCCACAGCCTCAGCTCTTCCTCTCCCCCTCTGCCCAGCAGTGTGCAAGCAGGTGGGTCTCCATCTAATCAGGTTGCTCAGCTGAAGGACAGGGAACCAACTTGGCCTGGGTCCCCAGCTCCACCTAGCCAATACCCATTTCCCCTGCCCCCTAGGCTCTGATGTGTACTGAACAAATGATCTCATCTCCTCAGAGGCCTCTCCTGGTGTCCCAGCCATTTCTACGCAAAGTGGCCTTGCAGGACAGAGCTCCCTGGCAGACCTCCCCCTAGAGGTCCTGTCCCCCAGCCCATTTTCTGCCTTTGGGCCCCATTACTCACCACCCTGTAATGAGTGAACCCAAGGTCTTTACACTGAGTTATATCCAACTCTTTTTATTTTTGAGACAGAATTTCATTAAATCATTAAGATTCCCTGGCTGGCTTGAACTAGAAATCCTGCCTCAGCTTCCCAACATGCTGAGATTAGACATGTGCTATCATAACCAGGGTTTCTTATTTCATATCACCCACCTTCTTAAAATCACAGGCTTACATGTTGGGGACTTAGTCCCTGATGCACCTGTGTTGGGAGGTGACTTTGCTCTCCTACCCTCTTGCCCAGCCCTGGGCTGATGCAGCACGAGGACCCTCTCCAGCTGCAGGCAGAAGGCTTTTCTCTCCCAAGCTTATGCTATTTAGCACAGCCATCGCTGCCTCAGTGTGACACTGCTCCAGGATGTGAGCTGGGCCATTTGCTTCTCAGTCACTGGTGACGAACACCCATTTGCCGCCCCCCACCTCTCCTTCCTGGGTGCTATCCCTGTGCCACTCCTACCCCTTCCTGGCCCAGCAGCAGCTCCATCCATTCCAATATTCCCATGGCAACTACCCTGAGACCTGCAGTCTGTTGTCCCAGGACTTCACCTTAATCCCTCCTGCCAGGTACTCTTCCAGCCTGGCTCCAGAGCCTCTGTCCAGACATCCTGGGCTCCCCCACCTCCTCTGGCCTTGCTGGGGACCATCCAGTCCTGCATGAGCCACTGTGTCCCCAGGGCTTCGCTTCAATGGCATTCCCGCCTCAGCTTCCCCTGGCGGGTCAACCCTTGTCCCTTAACTCTCAGGGCTGCACGGCCCCAGGACATATCTTTGCCCTCTGTTCTTGTCCTGCACTCCCTGCTACCCAACAGAAACCATGCAAGCTATACGTGCCCCTTAGAATGTCCTCATAACCTCACTAAAAATACAAAAACACAAAAGAAATTAACTGAGCACTCATTTTGTTTTAACCTGACACAGTCAAAATATCATTTTACTATGCCATCCATGTTTTAAAACATTTAGACTTTTGGGGTACTAAGTCAAACTCTGGTGCCTTTTTCACACTTACTACACATCTTGATCTAGATAAGCACATTTCCAGGGCTTGGTGGCCCAAATAATTGGAAGCTACTGTATGGGACAGCACAGCCACTGGGGCCACCTCCCCCATCCCATGTGCCAGCCTCATGTGCAGCCACCAGCCCTGCACAGCCACATACGCACCATACGCACCATAGATTGCTGGTCCCCAGCTCTCCACTTCCTCCCCTAACCTGACTCCTGGCCACCTTCCCCTTCCCTGGGGTAGGCAGTGGCACCACACCAGTCATGCTTGATGTCCCCTCAGTCCCAGCCCAGGCTGAGCTGCACATACCCTGGCTCTACCTGGAGATGGCAGATGCAGCCCTGACCAGCACCCTCCCATCCTGCTGTCACCATCCTCCTGCTTACCTTCCTTTCCACTGTGCCACCATGGGACCTGTTCTCCACGGGACACTCAGCATGACCCCACTCTTGCCACTACCTTGCTCACCTGTCCCTGGGAAAGACAGTGTCACTTTCCAGCAAAGCAAATATGATCCCGTCCCTGCCCTGGGTAATGTTTTCGTGTGACCCAAACCTGCTGAGATAAAGAACCTCACCAGTCCTCATAGATAGCCCCCACCTGCCCGAACACTGGAATCTCCTTGGGAGCTTCAGAAGCGTCCCCACTTTATCCCCATCCACAACCTCTTCCTGAACCTCAATTCAGCCACCTTGCCCCACACAGTGGCCAGAAAAAGACAAGAAGGGGATGGGAAGGAGGAGCCGGCCTTTATGACAGAGCTGCTCCCCGGGCCCACTAAGCTGTGCACCGATCCATGGATCAACTCATTCTAGGGACAGAGCCAGTGCCACCACAGAGTCCCCAGCTATGAATATGGCTGTGTGGGGGACCAAGTTTGCACAGAGGAGCTCGTGCAGGGCCATTTCAGATGCAAACCACCACCAAGTGGTCAAGGATGTGCTTCACCACCAATGTCACTGCAGGCCCTACCTTTCACATTTTGGGGCTTCCCTACCTCTCCTGGCATATGGATTGATGGTAAACTCCAGTGTCGGACAAGGGCTGGGGTCAAATCCTAACTTGACTGCTGGGCCTCAGGTCAGGCTTTCTTGAGCTCATCTGGGAAAGGGACAGCTGGACTCGGCTGTGAAAAGATTTACGGCAACCTCAGAATGACTGAGTCCAGAGAGGCGGAGGATCATACTCTATGCTGCAAAACATTGCAAAGTAGACTCGAGCAGGAAAATCAAGTGCTCGAGGGAGCCTGTGTGCACCCCAGCTCCCCTCTGCTCTGCAGCTTGGTGAAGATGTCTTTTCCAGAAAGAACACCTGAGCTTACTCTCTGTGATACTCTGCACATCCTTACTTCTCCGCCAGCTGTCCCCTTGCCATGGCACAGCCCGTTGTCTCCTCCTCCTAAGCAACAACGTTTATCATCTGTGTTCTTTATCTAAACGGGGAGTTCTAGGGAGAAGCAAAGGAATGGGTTCGTGAAGTCCTACTTGCACAGGCTTTTGAATTTGTAAATCCCTAGTCACTGACTAGCAGTGATCCCAGCATACGAACTGGGCCTGCCCCACCCAGAACACCCACGTCATCCCCATCGCACTGCCCTGAGATGTATTCATGGCCGCGCCCCGCCCCACTAGGTCCAGAGTCCCACAGTCTCTGTGCCTGCGACTTTCTGTCTCATCTCCTGGCCTCCTGTAAGTCACATGCTCTGCGGCTGGTACCTGAGCACTGTCACCACACCCAGAGGGCCTGTTCAAGCCAGGTCCCTGCATGCCCTAGCTTCGACTCTTGGAGACACCTTTCCCGCAGCCCCAGCAATGCCCTGTCCTGTGGGGCCATGAGGACCAGAGCAGCAGAGACCACAGCAGTGGGACAGAAGTGCATTCCTGAACACCTGTCCCATTTGGGGGGCAGGGTAGGGGTCCCCCACAGTCACCTGTCTCTTCCACCCTCTGTTTTCAGGCTCTGGCCCACATGTGCTTTTCCAGACACCTTGAGGCTTTCCTTCCTCTGCACCCCTGAACCTTGACCCTGCCTTCCTGCTCTTCCTCCCAGGACCCCCATAGGCCAAGCCTTTGTCTGTCCCTGGCCCTTTGCGCACACCCATCCTCCTGCCTCCATGCCTCCCTCATCCTTTGGACTCCATTTCAAAGGTTTTTTTCCAGAGAAGCCCGCCCAACGTCCTGCCTCCCCACGAGTGTGTCATAAACATGGCAGCATGATTTTTAAGTTAGCTTATTGTTTATGTCATACAGGTATGTCCAGCCTGTGGCCAACTTGTGGCCCACATGGAGCTCTAGACAACTAGAGAAGTAGCCATCCATGGTCATAAACTTTTAATATTCTTGTGTGACGTTCAGCAATATTGTGCATGACTCAGCTGTGTGGCAACAATGAACACTGGGTCAGGAGGGCACACTGCAGTATACCCTCTCCACCTGTGGACCCCACACACAACGCTCTAGAAATCTGAGTGTGTCAGATGTTACACACACTTTCATGACTTGCAGTGTAAAACACAGGCTTTCCTGATAACAGTGTCTCGACCCACATCACCTGGGAAGATGGGCATTTGTCGTTATTAAGGAGACATGGAAGTGCTCTAATCTATTAAACTTGGGCTTGTGTTATTCCACGAAATAAGCTTAAGTAGTTTTGTTACTGATGTACATTAGCTATATATTTTCTACACAGTTCAAGACAATTCCTCTTCACTGAACGCAAGCTCAGGGTTGCAGGAGCTTGGACGCCTGCCCTGGAGCAAAGGGCCTGGTTGGTTT